GGAAAGGAAAGGAAGAAAAGGAAAGATAAGGAAAGGAAGAAAAGATGTGGAAAGGAAAGAAAAGATGTGGAAAGGAAAGGAAAAGTAAGAAAAGGAAGGGAAAGGAAAGGGAAAAAACAGAGGAAAGGAATAAGAGGAAATGATGACAGGACAGGAAAGAAAGGAAGAATATGAAGGGAGAGGGAGGTAAGGACATGAATTGTCAAAGGAAAAGAAAGGAAAGAAGAGGAAGAAAGGGAGAGGGAGAAGAGGAGTGGAGAAGAGGGGAAGGAAAGAACTAATTGGAAAGGAAATAGAAGAATAGGAAAGGAGAGAAATGGAGGGAACGGAAGAAGTTAAAAGGAGGGAAGACAGGAACTGAACGGAGGAGTGAAGAAGGAAAAGAAAAGTAGAACAGAAAACAGTTCCTACGCTGTAAAGCCCTCTGAGGCCTGCTGTGATTTGTGATGTTGGGCTTTGTAAATAAAATTGAAAAATTGAAAGGAAAGAAGTGAAGAATAGGAAAGGAGAGGAATAAAAGGAGAGGAATAAAAGGAGAGGAATAAAGGGAGAGGTGAGGACAGAAAGGAAAAGAACAATAGACAAGAGAGGAAGAATAGGAAAGGAGAGGAGGGCAATGACAGGTGAAATAGGACAAGAGGAGAGGAAGGGAAGGAAATGAGGAGGTAGAGGTTATTCATAAATTCATTACCTGTGTGTGTGTGTGTGTGTGTGTGTGTGTAGGCAGTTATGATGCAGGTGAGCTGCAACTGAAAAACATCTCTCATCTATTACCCATGAGGCTTTGCAGCTTGTTGACAACAAGTAAGTCCCCTCAGGGCTCAACACACACACACACACACACACACACACATAATGTCATGTAAAGAACAGTTCTGGTGTCATTTTGTTTATTTATTTATTTATTTATTTATTTATTCCAGTGTCAATATGATTCAGGTTTGTTATGAATAAGAAATTTTTCTACAAATCCCATAAGAAATCAGATGTTAAACGTCGTCTAAACAGAAACAGACACACATTAAACACAGAGACAATTTCAGACACGTTTTCCCCACAAATACAACATGCTAACGTTATTAGCACAAGCCTATGGCATTTTACATTGTATGAATTAGTCTAAGGGCTAGTGGACTTGTGTGTGATTTATCCTGGCTTCATGTGACCAGAGGACATCTAGCTGCTAGGCTAATTTATACAATGTAGAATGCCATAGGCTTGTGCTAATAACGTTAGCATGTTGTATTTGTTTTAGTAAAACGTGTTTAGTATCAGACAGTTGTTTTGTCAGTGAACCTTGTGAGTTGTAATGGGGCAGATTTTGTAACGTTACCTTTGCTAAATGTTGCTGTTGTCCCTGGCTTCATATGAGTAGAGGAAAAGGCTGCTAGCTGCTAGGCTAATTTATACAATGTAAAATGCCATATGCTTGTGCTAAAAACATTAGCATGTTGTATTTGTGGGGAAAATGTGTCCAGATAAAGACAAGTGTTTGTCTGTGAATGCTGCGAGTTATAGTGGCGGTTTGAGGGTTAAGTATTACAGTACCTGTGTGTGTGTGTGTGTGTGTGTGTGTGTGTGTGTGTGTGTGTGTGTGAGATCATGGCTGCAAGCGAGGAGGAAGATGAAACGTGTCTTCTGCATTTCCTGACAACACACACACAAACTAGCAGCTATGAATACAGGGTCTGTGTGTGTGTGTGTGTGTGTGTGTGGGTGTGTGTGTGTGTGTAGATGATTAAAATGCCTAATAAAGTCCAGAAAAAGCACTCAGCCTAAGTAGCAGCCAGTAAAACACAATCAAAACATCAGGCTGGGACTCATTACTGTGTGTCTGTGTGTGCTTGTATTTGCTACACAGTGAGGACCAAATCATGTTTATAACCAACAGAGTGAGGACACTTTGGGAAGGTGAGGATATTTTGGCCAGTCCTCGCTTCCTCAAAGGCCTTTTTGAGGGTTCAGAGTTGGTTGTAAGGTTCAGGTTAGAATTAGAGTTCGGGGCTGGGACATTCATTCATTCATTTTCTAACCGCTTCATCCTCTTGAGGGTCGCGGGGGGGCTGGAGCCTATCCCAGCTGACATCGCGTGAGAGGCAGGGTTCACCCTGGACAGGTCGCCAGACTATCACAGGGCTGACACACAGAGACAAACAACCATTCACACTCACATTCACACCTACGGACAATTTAGAGTTACCAATTAACCTAGTCCCCAATCTGCATGTCTTTGGACTGTGGGAGGAAGCTGGAGCACCTGGAGGAAACCCACGCTGACACGGGGAGAACATGCAAACTCCGCACAGAGGGGCTCCCACGCCCGGGATCGAACCAGCAACCCTCTTGCTGTGAGGCGAGAGTGCTAACTACCACTCCACCGTGCCGCCCGGGCTGGGACATGCATTATGTCAATGACGGTCCTCAGAAAGATAGAGGTACATGAATGTGTGTGTGTGTGTGTGTGTGTGTTGAATCTTCAAACTGGAGTGGATGTGGAGTGTAATCCAGATTAAATGTGTTTACTGTGTGAGACAGACACACACACACACACACACATACAGATCAATGTAATTCAACTAAGAGCAACACTTACTGGCTGAAGTAGTTTCAGTTACCACAGCAACCGAGAACATCACCACCACCCCCCCCCCTCTTTCAGTTCAGTTCAAATGAGCTTTTTTAGACTTAAACAGAAACAAGGAGTCGTGTTACAAACAACACGTGATACTGTTTTGGGTAACTTACTCTCAAAATGTAATAACCACACTCTACTAGTTACCTCCATTTAAAGATAATGAGTTACTTTACAACATTACATTACATTACATTATTTACATGTGCTGCTTCATAGCAGCTTGTTACAGTTCATTTCAAATCCATGTAAATTATTTTAATTGCACCCATTGTTTTTACATTTCCTCCTCTCATTTATGTTTTTTTTAATTATTATTTATTGTTCTTACAAAGTTTTATTCATTTATTTATTAGTAGTAGTATTTTGCGTATCCTTGCCTGGTCAGTGAAATATTTACTGTGTACTTATTTTTGTACTTGTTGTTTTTATGTGTAAAGTACATTGTAACCTCGGTTTTGATAAAGTGTTGGGGGTAACATATTACAAATGTAACGTAGTGTAATGCAAAAAAGTAAAAAAAATACGATTAATAATAAATAAATACATAAATAAAACTTACTGATTAATTAAAAAACAAATAAATAAAGGGAAGTGCAATATAAAATTTAGGGCTGTAGTCTCCTGGTCAACTAGTCGATTTTTTGGTCGATATGCTGTCGTACAACCAAATTCTCATTGGTAGAATAATCGCCATGTTGCTTTCATAAGGAGAAAAGTGCTACATCAACAGCTTTCCAGGATTAATCCATCATTTTCAAGTCTTGTGTGTGATTTATCCTGGCTTCATATGAGCAGAGGAAATCTCTGCTGGTCGCTATGCTAATTTATACAATGTAAAATGTCATAGGCTTGTGCTAATAACGTTAGCATGTTGAATTTGCTTGGAAAACGTGTTTAGTGTGACAGTTGTTTTCTCAGTGAACCTTGTGAGTTGTAATGGAGCCGAATTATGTAATGTTACCTTTGTTAAATGTTGCTGTTGCCCTGGCTTCATATGAGAAGAGGAAAAGATTGCTACCTGCTAGGCTAATTTATACAATGTAAAATGCCATAGGCTTGTGCTAATAACGTTAGCATTTTGTATTTGTGGGGAAAATGTGTCCAGATAAAGACAAGTGTTTGTCTGTGAATGCTGCGAGTTATAGTGAAGCTGATTTGTGTACTTGTGTTTGAAACTGTCTCTATTAAGACATGTTTAATGTGTGTTTAATGTGTGTTTTGAATCAACTAAACTTTACAGCACTTAACACAGTCCTCCACCGCCGACTAGTGTTTTGGAGGTGTAACTGCAGAGTGACACAGACACACTACCACATAAGTAAAAAATAACGTGCAGGTTTTTTTCCCCACGACTAATCGATTAGTTGAAGATTATGTGCGACTTTAGTCGACCAAGATTTTCTTTAGTTGACTACAGCCCTGATAAAATAAGACGTAACAAGCCGATGTTTCTCATACAGGTCGTTCCACAACTGTGGAGCCCTGACAGCAAAAGCTACTACATACTTCTATTCCACAACATTTATTTGATAACTATAAAGGTTCAGATTATAATACAAAACCTAATCAACCAATATTTTATGATGTATTATTATAGATTAAACTGCGCAGCAGTTTATAAAGTCACTAAATCTACCAGCTGCAGCATTAAAGTGATGAACACATTAATGCAACAATAATTACAATCCAGTAGTTTCATATAAATTATTCTAAAATGAGTTGTTCTGCAAAATGTCGCCTACTTTGGGGTACTTGCAGTAAATTTTGATGCCAAAACTTTTGTAATTTTACTGAAGTAAAACACTTTGAATGCAGGACTTTGTTTTACTTCAGTGAAAGATCTTAGTCCCTCTAACACCACTGTTCTCACTGTGCATGTGTCCGTCTATGATCTGTCCATGTATCTGACTCCATCTAGTGGTCAAACAGCTGAACTGCAGCGACCCGAAACATCAGTCTCTCAATAATAATATTATGATTTTAATAATGATTAGCGGCTTGCCACATCCGTTTACTCACTATCACGAGTATAATTTTTAACATGATTTGAGAAAATGGTGTTAGTTGCATTTAACTAACTAGCTAACACCTGTAAATACATCACAAGGGAAATTTTAAAAGCAATAAACCTATACTGGGAAGATACAGCGTGAAATAAAAACTTAAAAAATAAAAAGTCACGGACTGACCCTTTAACAGCAGCAAGTCGCTCACCTGCTTTTACAAACACACATCACCTCATGTTCAGAGGGAATCTGACTCATTTCTCCAAGTCACATTCTCTATTTCTAACTCCTCTTTAAGCTCCTCAAACCTGATTTATTCCTGTGTTCATTCATCACACAGTCACACGCTGGCAGCCATGTTGCGTTAAAACACGTTTAATTCAATGTTCACAAACAAAACCACAACAGGAGACGGTCTGTAGGCACAGCAGCAGTTTGGGTTTGAACTGCGTGAAAACATTTTGGCTTCTAGATAAACTCCGTCTGGCTCCTGCGCCAAGATAAAAAATAAACTTAACTTATTCACTTAAGATTCTTCAGTGTGTGGGGCCGTGTGCAGCCGGATCACATGTTGCTGAACCTTTAGAAAACATCACAGAGGGAGTTTGTTTCTTTCCATTCTTCACATCACAACATACGAACTTTTCACTAACTTTAAATGTGGTTATATTTAATACTTGCACTGTAATTTAAAACATCTGTACTGTTCGTTAAAAAGCCACGTTTAAAAAGACTTCAATGATAAGCAGGGCAACCATCAATCAATCTACATCATGAGTTTTTAATTGTGTCTCTCTCCCTCTCGTCTCCTGTCGGCCTCGTCCACAGAAAGTCACGTTTCGCTCCCGATTACCTGATGGTGCGGTACATCATGAAGTCAACCGTGGTGCATCGTGGGAACTTCCCGATGGAGCTCTCCTCCACAGGTGTGTAGACTTTGATCTGACGCATGTGCGTGTCTCTGCCGTTCTGGTGGTTGGCGAGCACCGCAATCTGGATCATGAAGGTGCTGATGGGCTCGTTTGTCCGCTACACACACACACACACACACACACACACACACACACACACAGACACACACTTTGGTCATTAGTGATGCTCTTACTCACAACTTCCTGCCACAACACACAAAGATACACACAGTGTCACATGAAGAGGAGGGCTGCTGTCACTCAGTCTTTTTTAGATTTTAGCGCTGATTCGATTCAGAATAAAATATTAACTCATTTTTTATTTAACAAAAAGAAGCCAAAGCTCTCAAATGTTAAATGTTTTCTGAAGACAACCTGCCAAAAACATACAAAAAAAGTCAGAATAAAAAAGCAAAATATTGACTATTCGGGAACCGTCTGATCAAACGAGTTTAATAATAAAATAAAAGTTGCAGCAGCAGAAAGACAAAAATATTTACAGTTAAACAGAGAAACAACAAGTAAATAATCAGAAGTAAAAAAAAAAAATAAACTGTACGAGGACAATTCAACTCAAAACTACAAGGCACCTGATTTAAATTTACAGTTTATTAGCCTATTATTATTTATTTTCTATAATATTTTTAAAAAGGTGTTTAGTTTAATTTTAATTTGAGCTTTTTTATAATCTTATTTTCATATTTTGATTTTATTTACTTATTTATTTACTTAAAAGGCCTCACATATGTAGATATTATTTTTATTATTATTTATTCTTTTAAAACAACAGCTGCTTTTTATTTTTTAATTTATTTAATGATTTATTAGTAAATTCTCACATATGTAGATGTTATTTTTATTAATCTCTTTTAATTTTGAATAAATAATTTTGTACTT